ATCCAAGGGAACAGTTTCATGCGGACGTGGCGAATTCCTTCGGCTCCCCTTCTGCATCCATAGCACTTAGGCTGACTTCTCACTTGCATAAATCAGCGTGAGGTCCTTTGTTTCTATACTGCCCATGATCCACACGGTCCTTCCAACTACAAAGATCCAGAGTACTCCCAGCCAACAGATGGTCCCTTTCCACTTTGCTCACCTCTCTGTTCAGCTAGCTCTGTGCAAACAAGAGGTGCAAAGTGACCCTTATGCTCCCAGTCTTCCTGAAATCCAGCATTCATCTCCAGTTGCACCTTGATTCTCCTCCATTTTTCATCTTTTTGTATTACAGCATTATTTTACCGCTCACTCTTATTTTCCCCTTTCTTTTTTCTATCTGTTTCCACCTCTGCTTTCTCCTTGCTCTACACCCCTTCTGTGTTTTGATCTGTGTTTTCAGCATTGCTATGTGGACCTTCTGGCTGACATCTTCCATCCTTTCTCCCAGTATTACCATTGCTCCCTTTCATTTCATTTTGAACCAACTCACAGTAAAGGCAAAAAGAAAAACCTTGACTTGCTTTCAAAGTGTATTTTCAAGCTCTGAAAATCTGTCATGCTTAGTTTTACAGCCCACATTTAATGAACAAGTTAGACCACTAGCAAAAAGACAAGGCAAAGATCATATATCACACAGAACTGTACAGCCCAAGTATGAAGGCTGATCTGAAAGTAATGCCTCCCATTTGATTATGTTGGCCCATGACATCAGAGTTGGATGATGGTGGTTTGGCACAGGGGCAATCAGACAGGATGTTGTCTGACATGGAAGTGAGTTTGAAGCAAAGGTGTGGTATAGAATTCCTCCGTGAAGAAAAGATAGCAGCCATTGGCATTCATGGATGACTGCTGAATGTTTATTGAGACTAAATAGTGGATGTCAACACAGTGAGGGGTGGGTGGTGCATTTCAGTAGTGGTGACACTGGGTCACCTACACTGGTACAGATGTTTACAAGCACAGCATGCAAGCTCTTTTCATCAGCAGTGAAAAATGCAGAGTTAACGGTGGTGATTGTATTGACAAACAGTGTTTTATAGTTGAGAATTTGTTCTATCAAATACTGTCTTGGTACTCTCTGCATCTGTTGCATGGAAATAAATAGGAGACTTTACTCACAGGGCAACCAACGTGCTCTTTGTCCCAATGAGCATCAACAGCCAAGTGGTCAGGGCATTCCCCTGTCAGACTGGAAGCCCAGCCTCCAACACAGCCAGCCATCACATGGGCAGGGTGCTGAGCCTGAGCTTTCATCTCTTGCAGCATTCACGTCACTACAGAGGGAAGCAGCCTGAGCTCACCTGCCCACTCACTTTCCATCTCCTCAGTCCTACTTATATTCATACACATAATTTTCTAGGAAAAAAAAAAAAAAAAAAAAGAAAGCTGATTTCAAATTATCAACATTTGCCAATAAAAATGTTTAAGCAAAGCTTCACCACCAGTTACTCCAGTGAAGGAATTAATAATTGTGTGATGTTTCATTTTCGAATCTACATACAGAAGACTTTTCTCTAGAAAACACAACCGGAGATTAGGAGGCAACAGGTAATTTTCTAATTAACTGCAGAATAATTCCAGTTTTCAGCTTTACATTACAGAAAATAAGGTTAGGACAGAAAAAAGCTTTTCCACATTACTGACATTTGGCACCAGCAATCCGCAGTTACTTTGGCTGGTGCAGTACTTAAATGCCTAGCAATTGACACATAAAGCTCAGTGAGCTAATGGCATTCTGTGACAGCAAGAAACATACTTTGTCAAGATTATATTTCCTCAAGACCAGATTAATCTAGTTACAGTTTATTTATTTCTTTAAGGAAGTGGCATTTACAGACATGCAAGGCAAATAATGTGCTTATTAATTTCTCCTGGTCGTGTTGTAAGATGTTACCAGCTCCAAGAGGCCACTCAAAACAATGCAAGTTCACTGTTGTCACCCTCAATCCCTGCATATAAAAATGTGTGCAAAACTTTGTTGATATCATGCACATCTTTTGCAAATACCATGTGTCTGATATTCCCTCCAAGGCTGCAGACTGAGCAGAAAGAAAGCAGCATTTGCTGTAACAAATGTCAGTGTTGATTCTTGCCAAGACAACTCTTCCATGGATAAGCATTTTTAAGAAACATCATGGACCAACATTACTAGAAGCTTCCATATAAAAGTTTTTTTAATGTGCTTGAAATAAATAACTAAGCTCTATGGTTTTATTGTAGAAACACTTTTCTTCAAATCTGATTAAGAGGTGTTAATTAAGTCTAAAAGGGCAGAGATGCACAAATACCACAGGACTGCACAACCTTTCAAAGAAGGAATCTATCTTATAGGTCATTTTCATAAGATCACATAATATCCCAAATTGAAAGAGACTTGCAAGGATCGAGTCCAACCGCTGGCTCTGCACAGCACCACCCCAAATGCAAACGGTATGTTGAGAGCATCGCCCAAATGCTCCTTGAGCTCTGGCAGCTCTATGACATGCCCACCACTCTGGTGCAGAACCTTTTCCTACCTTCCCCTCAGTGACACAGCTCCATTCCATTGCCTCAGGTCCCACCATCATCGCCAAGAGACCAGCACAGCCCCTCCACTCCCCATTTCCACACACGTCATCTGTCTTCTCCCTATTCTCTGTATTGTATTTTAAACAAGGACACTCTGAGGATGGAGGAGTTTGTCTACAGTGAGTGCACTGAGATTTGTGTGGTATCTCTAGTCCAGGCTACTTTTAGATACCCAAATTAGCACTTTAAAGGCTCCATAAGGTGAACTGAGAATGCCCCATGACAGCTCCTTCCTGCTATCATGCCAAATTTTTGTATTATTAATGCTACAGACGCCTATACTTCAAAGAACTCTACGATGTTTCAAGGAACGCAGTTTCATGTACACACATGAAGTGCTTTCATGATGGCTTATTCTTAGTTCAGCAGTATTAACAGGAGGGAGCTTCTTAATGTTCAGGTCAAATTCATTTGGCATTCAGATGTCAACCAAAAAAAACCTCACTGTATGCATACAGCTGCTAGATGGGTTCTAGCATTCAAATTGGTTTTTTTGAGGCTGCAGGTAAAGCAGAGTCAGGAAAAAACCTGAGAGAAAAAATTGAGCAAGTTAAATTTGGTACAGCAGACAAGTGTAATTAATGCATTCTGTGCTGGAGTTCTGTGAAGCAGAAGTAAAAATTCAACCTGGAACTAGCATGTAACCCTGCTGTAAGGAGAAAAAAAAATAAAATATATTAGAAATCAATATTTCCTGCGCTCTGGGGTGGATGATCTAACAGGTATTTTCTGACTACAGGAATGCAATGCATGAAATACGAGTAACACGGGTACAACAGGAAAGGCAATTTAAGCGTTAAAAGGGATTACTTTGGGGGCTCTTCTTCACTTCCTTTCCAAATCACCACAACTCCTAAGCTAAACTACCAGCAAACAGCAGAACGCCCAACAAGAGCAGCAGCCCCACGTCACGCACACGCGGCTGCGGGCGCTGCTGCCCCGGCTCTGAAGCAAAGCTCCCGCCGTTGCCCCGGCAATGCCAAGTCACGTCAGCACATCTCGCGAGAGCTGGCGGCCAATGCTGAGATACCGGCAGAGCGGGGCTGCACGAGGCGTTCCGTGCAAAGGAGGGGGGAAGCGCTCGTTAGGAGATTTGAGTACAAAAACTCCTAACCAGAGATCGCTATATGCAGTGAATCATCTTCTGGGACAGTGCTTCTTAGTAGCTGTACTGCTGAGTGGTGCCATGGGTACCTCATTTACCAACACAGTGCTGGGCAGCCAATGAAGAGTCCCAGTGCAACCCTTTAGAAGCCCGTGCTGGTAACATCACCTGGGCCAGCATGGAAATTACATGGAATGCAGAGTATCTACCAACTACTAGATTTGTTCAAAGGAAGAGTACCAAATATCAAGCTATAAAGCCAAGAAGCTATAAAAATACAACAGGAAACCAAGGCAATTACATTGTCCAACAGGATTACTTTATGAGCTCCATCTTCACTGCCCAAATCACCACACTCCTAAGAAAAACTAGCAGAAAATAGCATAATGCACATACACACACAAAACAACATTTTAATAATCTTGGATTGATGAATATTAGATTTATTCTGTGCACACAAGGAAGACTGTGCATTACGAAGTATGTCACTTCCTTGCCAGCTAAACTCCACAGTGCCATTCCAAGACTGAAGTGCTTTCACTGCTGATGGTCAAACGTGTGCTGCAACCAGCTAACAGCTGCACCTCTGCTGTTCATGAAAGCTGAGCAACAAAACAGAAAGCAGTGCAGAAAAGGCACTTTATTTATGAATTCTTAGTGCTATAAACTACATGAGCAAGTCAATCACATTCTCCTTTGTTGAATGAGCCTTCCTGTAGAAGGCTGCCCATGCAAAAACACAGGCTACATCACACTGAGATGTTACTTTATCTACTGCCATCCCACCAACACCCACTTCTGACATCATGGGCCAACATCAGAAGAACAGAAGGCATTACTTGCAGAGCAGCCCTCGTAATAGCTACCCTTGCCTTGCATTTTGGCTCAGATTGGTAAGTGTAAAGGCAGCACCAGTTGCAGACACATGCTGCTCACAGGCCCTGCAAAGGCGTCCCGTCCCTGTGCCACCACGGCACCCACCCGCAGCAGACAGGCAGGCAGAGGGATGAGGCACTTTGGGTAGTTCCAGCTGCACACCCCATGCTCTCATCATTCCATGGACCAGGCTTGCTTCACCACAGCGCCTGCTTCACATTTAGCACCTTTGCTGAAGCCTCCAGGACAGTGACCGGGGAAATGAAAGCTCCCTGAAGGCATCCCTCCCCACTCTCAGGGGGGAAGAGTAACCATCAGACTGAAGAAATGGGACAGGACAACAGAAAAACATTTTGAACATTTTTTTAATTGCTCTACTCTGTCTATGTGGCACTACTTGCTTGAATCTTCATTGCCACCAGAGATAATCCTTGAAATAGGGGTTGTAGTAGCAGAGTAACTGCAAAGAGGAAGATTTAGTTACCATCATTTCAGAAGAAAAAAAACAAAAATACAATAACTAAGAATCTCCAGAGAGGACTCTCAGGGGCAATTCAAACAGGGAGGCATTGCCTTCAGAGCAGCCCTCATAACAACCACCCCTCGCTTGCATTTTTTACATTTGTGAGCTGCAGAGAAATGTAGGATTCTCTGAAGCATAAGTACCCAAATATCACCAGCTGTCAGTCACCTCCCTTTGGACTGACTGGCCACCAATCCCACTGTCCTGAGGGCTATTTCACAGGTAGAGGGACTACGTACCTCGCTAGGAGTAGAAACTGCTGCTTCCTCTGCCAGGAATTTATCACTTGAGGCAGAATTTGGGAAATCCCCCTCTGTAACGTAGAAGCCATAGTGGTGGTGGAAACGAACAAAACCTTTCACAGTGACAACGCCAACAACTTGGAGAGGCCATCTCCCGGCCAGTACTTCCGTTGTGAAGAAAGGTTCCTCAGTCACTATGAAGCCTCCATCGTTGCCCCACCAGATGGACTGGAAGCGATCGCTTTCAACAACTTTCCAGAGGTTTCTCAGAAAGGAGCAGGATGACAAGTCCTTGGCTCTGGCAGAGCACTTCTCAGAAAGATCGTGACACGGTCTTTTGGTTCCCCACCAGCAACTGGGGAAGTCTTTTCTTCTTGGAGAGGTCCTAAGGCAGCATCGCGAGCTGCTCTTTTACCACGGACCCGACGGGCAGCAGAAGCCAAGACTGCAGAGTCAGTGTTTGGAACAGAAACACCTGATGTTTCTGATGGTGTCCCCATTGGCGTTCTTAAATTATTTTTGCCTTGACAGAAATCTCTGTCTACAACCAGCCAACAAGGCCTGTCCTGCCACCAGCAGGAGGAAGCGCAGTGGCATCCGTGCTGTGAGGAGCAGATCCTCTACAAACACCACTGTAGCGACACAGTGACACCACAGACCAGAGAGCGTTTGCTGGCAAAATGGGGCAGCGAGATACACGTTAATTAAGGAAATATCAGCCAAGATATTTATGCTACCCAGACCAAGAGATAAAAAGATACCTGTATTATCCCTGGGTACTTTTTTATTAATGAGTTCATTGGCTATATTTCTGTAGGAAGCTCTTTTTTGTCTGTGAACTTCCAAAAGACACTTCCCCTTGAGGGAACTGGGATTATTCATGCTGGATAAGAGGAGACTCAGATGAGAGCTAATTGCTCTCTATAACTTCCTGAAAGGAGTTTGAGGAAGTGGGGGTAGGCCTGTGCTCCCATATGACAGGAACAGGAAGGGGACGGTCAGGTTGGACATTAGGAACATTTGCTTTCCAAAAAAGCCAGTATGCAGTGACACAGCTGATCACAGAGTTGTTGAAGCCATCATTCCTGGAGGCGGTCAAGACCCATGGAGATGTGGCACTGAGAGATGTTTTCAGTGGTGTGATAGCAGTGGGTTGGTGGCTGGACTTGGTGATCACAGTGGTCTGTTCCAACCGTAATGATTCTGTGACTCTATGATCAGAAATTGTACCACCAAGCTCACTTTTTTTTTTTTAACCAGCAAATATTTCAGTTATATTGTAAAAGCATCACTTCTCCTTTAGAAATATGCATGCAAATTATTCATATTCTTACATAACAGCTCAATGCATTCCTAACAGCTTGCCAAGATGGCTTGCCTTTATAAAGATACAGAACAAAAGAGAACAATAGTACATAATTGCTCTACAAATGGATTTATAGAGTAATTATATCATTAGTCCTGAGTGGTTCCAGCTTCCAAGTGTTATGCCACTAATCTTTTGAATACTTTTTTTGTTAGGAACTAAATGGATATCACTAGGGGGAAAAAAAACTTGCATGGCATAGAGCATAGTTACACTCAGCCCATTGAAGAGGAGTGATCTCCTATGCCCACTAGCCTTCAGAAAGGCAAAGGAGGAACACCTGACAGCTGTTTCTATGTGCTGCTTTAACAGTAACTACGCTCCCAAAGCATTCCATCTTGAATTTTATCTGTCTTGATGCACTCATCTGTGGGAGAGGACTCCTGAACAGTCTGCCTGTCAGCCAGCACTGAGATCCTCAGAATGTCAGCATACACAGCAGCAAGGCTTTTTCACAGATCTCAACATGCTCTAGGTCCACCACTGACAGCTCACCCGGACTGCAGCCAGCCCTGCAGGAGCACGTGCCCACATCTCCCTGCACCTTCAGTTCCCCCTGGACTAATGAAATAGGTATTTCATAGGGAAGGAGTCTTTATTAACTTGTTGGGTCAGATCTAGAGCTGCTAATCTTATTTCTGATTTAGAGTGCATTCCAGTTTCCTTTACTTAAGTTTCTTCCCACACATGAAATCCTATAGCCAATATCTCAGCAGAGCTTAGCATTTTTTCACAGCATGTAGACTTGACAAGACTAAATGCATTACTAAAGTAATGTAGTTGTTACTGCACACAATTACATAGGCCAGTCATCCCTGCACAATGCTCCGACTCAGTGAACAGACAAGAACTACTGCAGAATCCAGTTCTGTCCCCTGAAGCCATCTTTGTCAGAGAGAACTCAGGTACCACCATACTTCAACATGAAAGCCGTGTTAATCATGTGCAGCTTACCATAATATAACAGCCCAACTCAGTAATAAGTTGCATTTTGTAATCTACTAAAACATGTAGGCAGTACACCACTCAAGAAAATTAGTTGTTTGCCTTTAAAAAACATAAAGTAAGAATCATGTGCAAATAAATACTGGAATGAACACCCTTGCTCAATTAGGACCCATGAGGGCAGACTGCCCAGGATGACTACCAGTCACGTTCTGGTTGCCTCCAAGGACTCAGTCTGCCTGCTCTCCCAAAGCTCAAGGTTTGGATCCTACTACTTGCCTTACTGCTTTTCCTGAAGATGAGGAGTTCTCCCATTTAAAGCTGCTGTCTCCAAGAATGCCCTCAAACCCACCTGCCCAGCCTTATGAGGTGCAGCAGAACATCTGCCCCTGTTGTTTTCTTGATTATGAGTTGTCATCAATGCATTTCAGAAACTCTCTGCATTACCTGTGCCCACCTGAGTTGCCTTCCAGCAGACGCTGAGGTGGTTAAAGCTCCCTGCAAGCACCAGAGCCTACAAACATGAACTTCTTCCACTCTTATTTCCTCTTCCTAATCAGGTAGTACAGATTAGACAACCACCACAATACTGCCCACATTGCCCTCCTGCAGTCCTGGCCCCACAGCTCTCTGCTGGCACATCACTCACTACAGCACCCTTGCTGCTTTCCAACAGGGCAGCTCCTTTTCTTCCTTCCCAGCCTGTCCTTCCCACAGGGCTCACAAGCCCCACTGCAGCACTGCTGTTTAAGTATTCCACTACATCACTGCGGCCTATGAGGCTGCAGCCCTCTGAATCCTCCTGCCTGCTCACCATGCTCCCTGTTCATATGTGCACGCACTTCATCTGGGCATCAGTCACGCTCATACAGCAGAAGTGAGCATCTCTCACCCTCCGTGCTGTCCTCTCTGTAAGTGTATTTCTCTATTAAAGTCATTTTCACACCAATTAAATAAGACCCCTGGGGTACCTTCTCCCTCTATCACTTTATTCACAAGCTAAAAATACCTCATGTACACTGCTTAACGCAGCTCATACCTGACAGGTGTGAAAAGACCCATTATACCATCACATCTGAGCCTCCAAAGTCATTAATGCTGCACAACATGAGTGACTGTCAGAGACTTAGAAAGGTGCCAGAGTGGGAGCACTGGAAGGTACAGAACCGTTCCAGGGAGAAAAGAGCTGAAATACTGCTTGCACAGGTTCTGGACAATCTCCAGAAAGCAGGGAATAACAGGTCACTGGCCTAACCAGGGTTTTGCTTTAGCAGTTCTTAAAGTTTGCCAGACAAAGCATTTCCACAATACCACAAGTAAAAGACACTTGAGATCCTGCATGTTTAGTAGCTTGTTCCCCTCCCACTGAGAATACAAGCACAAATGCTGTAACGCTGGGCTTTGCAAGGAGAACAGCAGCTATCGAGTCACCTTTAAAACATGCATCCCTCAGTGTTTGCCCAGAAGGAACAGAACCACGTGAAAGCTAAGAAACTTGGGAATGGCAGTTAATAATTACTGCTTACCAAGAGCTTATCATTTCTTAAATGTTTTCAAAACATTAATTAAATTACAAAGGCAGGAGAAGAAAAATAGCATTGCATTACATTGACAAGCACAAATGCTGTGATACACGAATGCACGCGTGCTACCTTCACATTCACTACCTGACCCGTTCCTTACATGTATCCAGGACAGCACATGCTGTTTTGCACTGTTCTCAGCTCTAAGGACAGAGAGAGTTTGGCTTTTTTTTTTGTATTCTGCTTCTTCCCAACCTCAGTCGCCACAGAAGGATTAATCTAAAATAGGAGCAGCGAGTTAAACGCTAATCTTGTTTTTAAGACTGGCTTCAAAAAACATTCAATGAAGCTTCCTGGGACTGCGTACTCATCTGATTGCACTGCCATTAAATCCTTAAGATCATCTCATTCCAACCTCCTGCTATATATGCAGGGACACCTCCCACTACACCAGGTTGCTCACAGCCCCATCCAGCCTGGCTTTGAGCGCTTCCAGGGAGGGGACATCCACAACCTCCCTGGGCAACCTGCTCCAGTGCATCACCACCCTCACAGTAAAGAATTTCTTCCTAATATTTAGTCTAAATAGACCCTCTTCCAGTTGAAAGCCATTTCTTCGTATTCTTCCTATACCCTCACAAAAAAAGTCTCTCTCCAGCTTTCCTGCAGCCCTCTTCAAGTCCTGGAAGGTTGCTATAAAGGTCCCCCAGTGCCTTTTCCAGGCAGAAGAACCTCAGCTCTATCAGCCTGTCCCCATAGTATAGCTGGTACGTGTACCAGCACTCTCATCATCTGTGTGGCCCGCCGCTGGACCAGCTCCAACAGCTTCATGTCCCTCTCATGCTGGGGGCTCCAGAACTGGATTCAGTACTCCAGGTGGAGTCATGCAACAGCAGAGGGGCAGAATCACCTCCCTCTACCTGTTGGTCACACTTTTGATGTAACCCAGGACACGGTTGGCCTTCTGGACTGCAAGCACACACTGTCTGCTCACACTGAATCTTTCAACAACCAGTGGTTGATGAAGAGTTCAGTATCTACAGATATCTTTCAAAAGCAAAGAGATGGAGCTCCTTCCACCTCAAAAAGCTGTACCAAAAAGTCAGTGACAAAAATCTGAACTGAATAATCGCTATTCCAGAGCTAGAAACTGATAGCTAAGGTTAAAACAAATTGAGAAATAACTACCAAATAAATGCATTGAAATGACAAAGACTGCGACTCCTACAGATTTTAAATACTGAAATTAGTGACCCTACCTTCCACCAAGTTATTGGTGTTCTCTGATAATATAAAATACACTCCAGATTTTAGCATTAGGTCAAGACTTCCAAGTGCAAGTTCCATGCAATTGTTTATTTCAGACAAACCTGATCTATTCTCAGTGGTAAAGCCCAGAGATAGCACTTGGATATTTCCCCATATTATGAAACATTTTAAAAAAACCCTAAGTTTAATTCCTGAGTAATGAAGTTCTCAGGAAAGCTGAAGAAATCAGACTGCTCAGCCCTTGAAAATATTTAGGGCTTTACTGAAAGAGGAAGCCTTGAGTATTTCGAGTGATTTAAATAAAAATGCACAAAAGAAATGGAGAGAGAAGAACTGCAGCTCGGGTCCCATGTATCTGCTGGTGACTGACATTCTTGCTCTACATTCTCATTTTGCC